TGTTTTAGGAACCTTGCTCATGAGCTCTATGACATTGTAGGGGAAGAATATGAAGCAAATGGTACTGACATAAACCGTCTTCCTCAGCCCCCCTCTCCTGGTCTTCTCCACTTCTGTATTACTTCAGCCCTGCACTTTGCAGCTGACAAGTTGCTCTCTGCAGGCACAGAAGACTCCCTTCTTACAGACTGGGAGGTGATGAGCCCCAAGGCTGCACAACAAAGCATTCCCGACGGAACACACAACTCCGTCTTTCCCACTCCTGAGACTGAAAGTCTTGGTGGCACCCTTTGCTCTCTTCTCTCACCCTTCTTACCAAACCCATCGATGTGTTAATACCTACACCACCCATCTCGAATTCATTCTCTTGTTCCTCTGCCACCTCCACCACACTAATGTGGACAAAGCCGGCCATCTTTACCTCCACAACTGTGAAATCCTCCTCCTAACTTGTTTCTCTGTGTCCTTCCTTTTCCCTCCTTCAGTCTTCCACCCAGGGCAGCCAGAATGATTTTATTCACATGTAAAGGAATTCCCTTCCTCTACTTAAAACTCTCCAAATCTTCTTACATTTCTTGGAATAAAATCCAGTGTTATTGCCTGTTATTGGCTCTACCACTCTTCACGTCCTTTAACACTCTTGTAATGCTGTAACCATGAAGATAATTTCTCAACTCCTAATGCATAGCAAAGGCCATTGAGTGAAGCCATTTGCCTGTGCTGACCCTCTAGTACCCACATGGCAAGCTCTGTGACTTCCTTCTCATTTCTGCAGGAAAGGGGTCTTATCAGAGACCTTCAGTGGCTCATCTTATTGGGCCCCCTTCTCTTTTTACTTTGTTTCATTTTTCTTCTTAGCACTTACCATCTTCTCGCCTAATATATTTTTATATCTTCTTGCTCTGATATCTGTCTTTATTCTCTAGCTTGTAAGCTTCATGAAAGCAGGGTCTCTGTTTTGTTCTTTGCTGTAATTCCACTGCCCATGATAATACAGAGAATGTTTTCAATTAATATCTGATGAATGAATAAATGAATGAATTTTTCTATCTCATCAAAAAGCACAGCATAGAAAGTATAAATGCCTTTTGTGGAAAATAATTTACATTTTTCTTAGAAATGTATTTCTACTTTATACTGCCAATATTATATTAAGACTTATAGTAGAGGTATTTACATAGCAAATAGGAGTGGCTTGTCAAACACACTACTTAGAAGTCATTAGCTCATACATGGTACATTTTAAAACTGTCAGCCACTTGAAATGCATTCTTTGGCTGCAAAAGATGGCTTTAACTTACTATTACTCTTTTTGCATACAGGTAGAATATTTCACTCAGATAATTTTTGTTTGGGTCAATTTACTTGTTGAAAGCATTATAAGGTAAAATCAGTCTGTACAAGGGAATAACAATTTGAGGTTTGAAGTGTCCTTAAAAATCATCAACAATGATCTTCTTAGAGGGTTAGTCAATGTATGATGTGATAATTTTCAACCATAGAGACCTCAGTATACCTCCAAGCTACCCATTTTGTTTTTCAATGGATTTTCTTAAGGTAAAACTAATTTACATCTAGGTTACTTAAACACATTGGTCTTAGGCTTTGGAATCCACATACGAATGAAGTAGAAAATAAAGAGATACAGATAATCGTGGTTTAATGACAGAGTTCTGTTCTTACAACTGGGTCATTGATTGAATTGGTCACTGAATGAATGTATGTAGTATGGACGTTACAATATTCAGAACAAAGAAATGGTCAAGAAAACTCCAACCTGATGACTTTGTTGTTATTTGCATAATTCTTACATGTACTACTGTGATGTATAACAATATAAAACTAGCACTGTACTGTATTATACAATCAGCGCAAATTACAGTACTGTATAAACAAGGTGTATTATACCCAAAAAAAAGACATTGAGGTTCTATAAATAAGATATACATAACCATACCAAAAAAAGACTAGTCATCAATCCAAGCAGCAGGTCATTTGTTCAAAGAGGGTACCTCAGTCATAAGTCTGAACGTTTATGAAATAGGTAGGTCATTAAACAAGGAATATCTATACAGAAAATATTTTTAAAGGCACAGAAATGAAACTTTTTGACTGGAATATTCCAATCTTTCAAATTTAATTCTATGTAGAAAGTTGTTTATCTGATTCCCAGAAAACTAGGAGGAGAAATACTGTTTCATCTTATGTAGAAACACCCACAGAAAGTTGTAATGGTCATTTGATCTAAAACAGAAAATGTATTGGTTGGTATAGCTGTGTAACAAATCTCCCCAAAATGCACTGGCTTAAAATAATTCCATTTCTTATTGGTGAAGTTACCTATGGATTAACTTGGTGGCTCTCTTGCTCTGGGCTGGACTCTGCTAGTGACTGATCAAGGATAATTTTTGCTTGAAAGAAATCATTCCTTCATCTGTCTCAGCTATATCTTCAATAGACCAGCAGGGTACCATCTCCTACTAGAGGGAGAGGTCCAAGAAAGGGAAGTGAAACCTGCAAGTATTTTCAAGCATCTATTTTTGGCTTTATATTTACTGTTGTCCTTTTTTCCTGGACTCAGAGTGAGAGAACATTGCAAAGTTAGAAGGCAAAGTATCCAGATACAGGGAGTGCATAGATTGAGGCCAATAGTGTAATTAATACAGTACAGGAAAAAAAAAAAACAGTACAGAAGAGGGTTGGACCTGGAAATAAAATACAAAGGAAGGGAATGAAAAGAAGAAAAGAGATGGAGAAAAAAAATCAAAAGAAAGATGGCTAGCTACAAAAACAAAACAATATAAAAAAAGGTAGAACACACAATCTAAAAGGAAAAATTGCTGGGAAGGCTGAAAGAGCCAAGATACGTGACCTGAAAAGCAAGGTCTGGTAAAAATATATAGTATTTATAACAGTAACCTTCATAATGATGTAGAACTCATAACAGCATGGACTCATAACAACAGGATTTTTTAATTCATGGTAATATAAGCTCAAGTTCTGCTGGGAGTTTGAGAAAAGAAGAAATACAGTAAATTAACACAGAGTTATTTAGTAATGTATTTTGCAACTTAAGAGGAAAACTGCAGTCATACATAATGTAAGAGAATGAAAGCAAGTGACAGATGCCATTGACAAAGCTTTCATACTTCTCAGCAGACATCGAGTAGCACTACTTTTTTAAAAAAAATATATGGTTTTGACTGTTTAGGATGGACAAAATAGAACTTTAGTTGAGATTTTTTTCCCCTATGCTTTTCCATCAGTTTTGCCTTTTATTTTTAACTATGAGTCTAACTAAAACAAAAGCTATATTCATAGCAGTACTCCTCAACCTGGAGTATACAACTGGGTAATAATAAATAAAAGAAGTACAAAAAGAAAAATTTATTTTTATTCATGATTTTGGAATTTCCAGTCCAAGACTGGGTGGGCCCATTGCTTTGGGCTTCTGATGGGGGTGCTGGATGACAGTGGCAAGGAACATCTAGTTGAGCCAAACTGTTTGTCTCATCAGCCAGGAAACAAAAGGGAATACAAAGAAATGGGGATCCCACAGTACTCCTGCAGGGCATGCCCCCAATGACCTAAAGACCTCCCATTAGGCCATGCTTTCTAAAGGCTCCACCACCTCTCAGGACTACTATCCTGAGGTCCAGGCCTTTAACACATGGGCATTTGAGGGGCATTGAACATCTAAAGTATTAATGCTCATTAAGAAAAGGGATTGCATCTATTAATATTGAGTGACTTTAGTAAGTCACTAAATAAAACATATCTGACTTTCATTTAGCAAATGAGCTTTTAGGGACAGAAATCATGGTTTGATTTTATTTTATGTGTTTCTGTCATTCAAATATCAGAAAACTTCTTAAGGTTGGTTAAGAACCATCGTTCAAGAGAGACCCGAACTAGTACAAACAGGGAAAGTATAATTTTCCATTTATTTATTTTAAGATTTTTGTACAGATTTTAGAAAGAGTAAAATTTCTTCTTAATTTGTCAAATTCAACAAAATAACCTTTCATTATTTATTTATTATGATGACATCATGAGAAAAACAAGTTGTTCAGCCTTGTTAGATCTTCATTTCAACTCAGCTCCTTCCTCTGGTATTACGATGCTATGTATTATGACTTACACAGTATTGTCTGATCAAATACATTATTTAGTAAAATACTCACAGTTTCCCACAATCTGCTTATTCTACCTAAAGAATTTTTGGTGCATTTATTCTACACCTTTTCTTCTTTGGCCCTTTATTTATTAAAGATAGTTGTATTCTCATTTTTATTTCCATAAAACTGGTAATAGAAAGCAATCTTATTTCCATTGGAATCTTTTCCAAACCTAGGAACAAAATTTCCAAGTGATTGTCTTATTCATAACTGTTGCACCATTTTTTCTACATTCTCAATGTGTCCTAATTATTTTAATGTGCAGCTATTACAAGTATCTGTTGCATTCAGATTTTTTGTTTTCTTAATATTCAAATTTAAGAGATACGACTTTGAGACATCCTCTAACACTTTGTAAGTTTTCCCTGTGTTTCACCTAGAATGCTGAAGTTGAACATTCATGAACAATTTCAAAACTTAACTACATATAAAATCAACCCTATTTGACTAATATATGTTAGTCAATGGTAACATAGTTAAATATATACTTAGTAGTGCACGATTTTTTTTCTAAGTTTTATATCTTTAAGCCTGCTTGTAAACAAGGATTTTCTTAACTTTATGAAATAAATATAAGATAAAATTTTCTAGGAAAACAAATAGTAAGAGAAGAATCTCTTACTGCTTACAACCAGCACAAGCCTTCCATGCAACTAATGTTATTTTGAGATAACTGTGCCTTTTTTCTGTGATATTTCTTCCTCCCTCTCTCTTCCCTCATCTCTATCACCTGATTTTGTTTGTCAAGCCAGCTGATCACACTTCCCATCCCTGATTGAGATTCAAATCTAACATCTAGTAATTTGCGCTTTTTTTTTCCAGATTCCTGTCTTGGTCACAGAGATAAGTTCGACCAATCACCCAGTGAAAGTGGGGCTGTCTGATGCATTTGTCGTTGTCCACAGGATCCAACAAATTCCCAGTATGTAGAAGAAGGGTAAATGCAAAGTGTGAGCTTTCTGTGGGGGTACATTTCAAGAACACTGGCCTCAGGCAGGTGTAATTTTAAAAAGAATCACTTAGCTAATTGCTGCTTATTTATCCTACTGTTTGGGTTGTAACTCCTATTGGGATAGGCTATCTCCATTACTCTTGATCCAGTAAACTTGGGTAAAGAGAAATTAAGGAGCCCAGCCCAGAATGTGTAATTTGGGATTCCTTGGAATAATTGGCTTGGTTGAGTAGAGATAATTATGGTATTAATATGAAGAATTTAACACAGTGACAAGAGTGTTTGGCTGATAGGAACATGACTTTTGATGTTTGTTTACTTATTTTTAATAAGTCTATCAGAGGAACAGCTTTGTGCCATTTTATATCAAACACTTGTGTAAAAAATATTTGGGAGTCTAAAGGAAGATGAAAGACAAATTAGAAATTCAGAAAAATAAAAATGTAAGTGAAGCTATGCCTATCAGAGAGGACATCTATTTCTCTTTTTTTGTTGTTTTTTAGATCATTTTTACCTATCTAATTTAGTTTATATTTTGCAGAAAAAAATGTAGGGCTTTGGACAGTTGTTCATCATAACAGAAAATAAAAATGCTTCTGAGGGTAAAGCTCACTGGTGAAGCATGAGGGAGGCCATAGGTTCATCCCTAACACACACACACACACACACACACACACACACGGACACACATACACACAGACAAAAAGAAAAGAAAACCAGAATATTCACTACATTTTGTAGTAGTTCCAACCATGTAAACAGCCGTCTTTTGAAAGCTTCTGGTTCTTAAACATCCTCTTTACTTTCAGAACATTCCTGAAAAAGGCATTAAGGGTTTGGCATTGGAGGGACTTGTTTGTTTGTGTCCTGAGTGTGCTTATTTAAAGCAAGGAATAATAATAAAAGGCATCCAAAGATCAGATCATTTCTTTCCTTTTTGTTCGAAGTTCTTTTTCTTCTTTTCTTTCATTAGAGTGGTAGACTTAATTCATCACATGTGTATGCTATTTGCTCTTGACTTGAGCTGATTCTGTCTAATTATGACATCTCTCAAATACAGAAAGTTAAATGGAGTGGAAACTAGACTTTTCAGAGCAATAGATTGGCTGAAATTGTTAGAAGGGTTCTCCTCCCTGAGAATGGCATGCATATGGGGCAGTTCTGTTTGTTGAAGATCATGCATCCTGGAATGGGTCTCTCCTTCTTAGTTGAGAATTTGTGGGAGGTAATATTAAAGGCAATTGTTAAATCAAAGCAGATTTTCCAGAAACTAAATTGTACGGAAAACAAAGCAAGGATATATTAGTATGTGTAGGCAACATAAAGGCCCCCTGACAGAACTCTTAAATAAGAGTCTGAGCCCTGGGAGAGCCAAGGTTGGCTTCTGATGGAGGAGGAGTGTTCTCACCTTCTCCCTTTCAGAGGTGTTAAATCAAGCATGGCCTGAGTCAATTATTGCACAAGTAAAAGGAAACTAGTTTTCATTTGTTTGTTGGTTCTTTTCATCCCTGGAAGAATTTTATTTGCAGCTTGCTCAAAAGCTCACTTTGGTGCACACCGAAGCTCCAATGTATCATTATTTACAGAAAAAGACACAGCAAACTACAAAGAATGATTTTATACATGTATTTTAATTTGCAAATTTTGTGTCAATACATTCTCCATGATCAGACTTTGCTTAGATTTCAGGGTGCCAGGATGTAATTTTAGATCCCTTGTTATGCTGTAAAAGGGTAACTGCTAAGGTTTAAGGGGCAAATATCCTTCACGATATCAATTTCACTAAATAAATTGGCAAAGTTCTTATGAATTTAGAGAGCAGATTTTGTCTGAAGTTTGGAATTCAGCATTCACCTTAAAAATATTACTGAAACAGAGTTCAGAAGAAATATTTGCTCAGGCAAGTGGAGAACTTACGGTGCATTCACATTTCTTGTTGACCTTACTATTCAATCCAGAGAAAATTAGCCAGAAAGGATGGAAGTTGTGAGTCTCTAATGCCTCCATCTCTGCAGTTAGATGAGACCATATTGGAGGAATAAAATTGGAATTGATGCATTCTACTTAAAATTCATTTTGGGAACAGAAAATTTTAATCTCCTTAAAAAATCTGTTCCCACTTTAATAAAGTGCAGCAGTGTCTGTTACATGAGCTTCTGTGTAAGAAGAGAAATAAGATTGTATTAAATTCTCAGCTGAAAAAAGGCATACTTATTCATGACACAGATTAAGATAACCCAAGATTAGCATAATACAAGTTATAAAAGTATTTTTTCCTGAGAAATAGGATTATTTCTACAACTCTGTATGTTACCTATCTTTGTAGTCAGAGCTTAGGTAAATATTTAAATCCTTTTCAAAATTCTGTTCACATATTTAACAACTCTCAGTATTATGAGTAGTCCTGTAGGGAATTAAACCCTTTATTTCTGTTGCCCCGTTTTTTCTTTCCCTGAGTGGATATGGGGACCAGCTGATGATTATCCTAAGGAATTGGTGATTTTTTCTTCTTATTTCAAGGTGCATTACGTAGAACACTGTTCTCACAAGATCAGTTTTCTGTTCTTTTAATCATTTGGTTATAGGGGTTATTAAATCCAGAATTTCAGTGTAGTCTAGTCATGGTGAAATGGAAATGTGAGCCATAGCCTCGGGAATACTTCTTCCCTGTGAGACCACCATTTCTGTCTCATTCTTACCAGGTTTGCTGAAAATTTGATAAAGCATTCAATAATCTGTAAAATAATCTTATTTACTTTGTTAGTAAGATTTCTCCCCATCCATACTTCACAGCATCAACAACCAAAATCCTCATTTTTCAGCTTTTAAAGTTTTCCAAAGAGTAAGTAAATTCAGTGCCAAATTTGAAACGTAGCTATTGAAGTAGGCTTTTATTTTCAAAAAATATCAGATAGTCTTATACATAGTTTAAATATCAAAGAGCATCCAGTCATTGTTTAGTAAACTGATAAACAATTCTGACATTACAAGAGAAATTACTCCTTCCAAAGTCTATGGTGAAATTAACCCTTACATTAAAAAATAAAATAAAAGATGAAAATTAGTTATAACTATGCACAGTATATGGGATACTGTAGTGAGAATATTGGTCATGATACCTTGGACATATTATTTAATTTCTGTAACTTCTTTATATACAAAACGGGCATCTTCGGACCTAATGTGCAATTTGTATGTGACACGCAGTTACATACAACGAAGAAGGGTTCCCATACTTAGAGCCATTGTTTCTCCATGACCACCAGCATCGTCATCATCGTTATCATTTGTGACAGTGATTCTGACTCTGAGAACAACGGGTATCATCATAGCAGGCTCACAAAGGATTTCCACTGTGATACACTTTGACGCGGTGCCTCTGGAATGCTCAGTCTTTCGGTGAACTTTTTGTTTTCAAAATGTCTCCTCATACGACTTGCATATGTGGTCTTATGCCTCTAAATCCCTTTCTGCTTTTTATTAACTTTATTTGTAAAACTTTAGAAACACAGAGAACCACAGAAACCTGCTGTTTCAATCTCCTTAGATATGACTAAAGAATGACCTGCATCCGAGGAATTTCATTATTCATCTCAGAAATATGAGCATAAAAATAAACCTGTTACAAATAGAAGCACAGTGCATTTTAATTCAGAGTAACAAAAAGTAACAGACATCTTACAGAAATACTTAAATTACCTCTAGATCTACCAGAAAGAGTTAGCGGTCAACATTTTCATCATCTCATCTGATTTTTTGCCTACGTCACATATATAAAAAAATGCACACGTACTAAAATGGCATCATGTGAAAATATTTTTAATGGTCTGTTTTCCCTTCAAAATATACAACAGTTTAAACTGTTTAATAATTTATGCAAACTTTTTCTTCAGATATGTTGCTTCTTATATTAACAGTAAATGCTGACCACCCTTGTTTTAAAATTTTACACCTAGCTGATTGTCAAAAAATGAATCTGAGATGTTGAACATGAACATTGTTTTATGTTTGTTGAACAGTTGCTTTCCATAAATGTTGTATCAGTTTACTTACTCATCAACATTAGATATCACATTGCTCTGGCTTTCAGATACTATTATCATTTTTTAAACTTTTCAAATTTGATAAGCAGAGAACATGGTATTTCACTGTTGCTCCAGTTGTGTTTTATGAGAAAGCATTAACATTGTCATAGATTCATAAGTCATGTACAATTTCCATATTTTTTTACTGAAAGTAATTCTTTCTTAGCCTCAATCTATGTCCCTTCAAATCCTTTTGCACAGTACTCAGAGGCCTTCCTGAATACATGCATGATGCTCACTTTTATTTATATTTCTCTCTTCCAATTTAATATTTTAAATTTCCTTTTTAATCTCAGGGCTGCTGGACTGCCACAGTGTGCCTCACTGTTCCTCTGCCCTCTGAGTTTAATGAGTATAACATTTCAGGCAAGAAACCTAGAAAACCCACACATACCATGGGGTTCTTCTGTTTTAAAAACATAAGGCTGGGTCATTTTAGCAGTGAGAAGGTTACTTTCACACACACACACACACACACACACACACACACACATCCCACTCAGAATTCTAGAGATAGAAACTCATCTGGATACCAGCTGATCTAATTTGAAATGGTTTTACTACAATTTATGGCAGTGATTATTTCTGATCCCTTAGAATACTTCATGTATTCTTTACCTGGTCGGTACTTTTTCAACAGCAAGCCTTTTCTTATCATTATCTGCTATTGTACGTGTATTGATGTTGTTCATGCTACCTTTGTAGCATATGTTCTTGTCGCGCTTTGTTAGTTATTGTTATTCACAGCTCCACGAAAAATCATTATAGCATTTTCAGAAAGAGAAATCATAGTTCACTTGTAGAGAGAATATATTTTAAAAATTTTTAGTGGATCACTGAACTCTTCAAGAAACACTTGTATGTATTTGGCCATATGTGGATTTTTAAAAATATATTTACAGGCCAGATGGCAATTTTTCTAAGTTGGCCAAAATTATTTAGATTGTGACTGTCATAACCTTAATAAACAGAGAGTTCTGGTGATTAATATGGGAGAATATCTTTAGCTGTAATTCTCAAAGAAATAATAGCACAGACAGGTGTCTGCACTATTGCACTATGGAAAATGCTCAGAATCTGAACCCCTAGAAGGCCTCATTGGCTGCAGGTAGCTCTGTGCACTTGCAGTGTGGCTAGTGACTCTAAGTAACTGAATTTTAAATTGGATTTAATTAATTCATTTTAAGTTAAAGAGCCCCATGTGACTCCCATATTGGACAAGGAAACAATAGGCCATATACACATAATTAAATAAAATGCTGAACGCCAGTGTCATATGTACATAGACATCTTTTTTATCTCTCTGCCTTATATAGGGCATTAGGATATTAGATGTGTTTAAATAGTAAGTTCTTGAATGTATTTTTGAAATAATAAATTTTCAGTTATAATAATTATAACTGATTTTCCTCATAGGAAAAAATCCTAACTTTGATTTGGTGGTAGGACACATTCATTACAATTACTCACCAACTGTAATAAAAAGTGAAGTAAAAATGTGATAAAAACTATGGTGAATATAAATAATCAATAATTTTTTCTTTACTGTTTTTAATTCCTGGAGATTAAACTCAGCACCTTCACACTGAGCTATATCCCCACCCAAACCCACTTTTTTGTGGTACTGGGAATTGGATGCAGGTCCTCAACATGGAGCTACATCCTCAGGCCTTTTCTTAATATCTTGGAAATATATTTTGCTAAGTTGTGATCCTCCTGCCTCAGCCTTCCAGATTGCTGGGATTATAGGGATGTATCACCACACCTGGTTTTCTGGCTATATTCTATAGAATCTATTTTAATCCCTTTTCAGAGGAATGGCACCTGGTTCATTATTTCAGGGTTATCAGTCTATTCATTCATTTAAGGCTGGCTCAATCTGCAAATCTTCAGTAAATTGTGTTGTCTTAGCTCAGCTTTCTTGAAAATAGAAAACCCTTAGAAATTATTCATTCTATATAAGACAGCATTGCTTCTTTTGCAGCTCATTTTCATTAGTTGCTTAGGTTCTTATGTATGCACTCACTAATGAACAGCTTAGCAAAAGAAGAAATAAATAGAAATAATGGCTTCATTTATAAAATAACTTCTGATTAAAAAGTGCTGTGTAAATGATATTTTATTGTTCTAACTCATACATTTCTATCATATGCTATTTGGTTGACCCTGGTTTGATTTTTAAAACAGAGTAAAAGTCTCAGATGTTCTGATTATTAGAAATCACTGATTATCAATTTTAACATATTTGAGAATTTTTTTATTTTCTTAGAGTTTCTATGAACCGGAAAAGGATTCCTTCAGGAATTTGTGACTAAGCTGTTTCCTTTAATTAATTAAATTCATTCATTCTTTCATTCACTGACATTCCATCTGTTATCACACTTTCTGAGAAACAAATCTTTACCAACCCAGGGCTATCTTTCAATATGTTTAATAAAGCTTGGGTAGCTATTTCTAACATAAAATCCTAAAGTCACAGAAAGGACTTTAATTTATTGTTAAAAATTCAAAATATTTATACATGTATTCATTTAGTGTATATTTATTGGATATCTAGTAGAATAGGATGAATTGTTTGAAGGAAGGGAAGCCCAGCTTAACGTACTTTGATTTTCTTAAAATAGTGAATGAAAAGCTCATCCTTACAAATCTCCACTGTGTGGTTTCCTTACTACAGAAGACACAGGAAACTGTCAAGATAGTTCTCAACAGTAATCTGGGCTGAATTTCTCTCTCTCTAGTTTTTATTTTAAAATATCCCATCTTTAAATTATAACCCCAAATGTTAAATTTCCCATGTTTTTTCTTTCAGAGTTACCTTCAAATTTATACTTATAATCATTTCTTATTTTTCCCTATTATATAACATATATCTGTATTGACTTACACTTTACTATTACACTGAGAATATTTACATTTTTAACCACTACTACTTTCATACATTTATAAACCCACCTGCATGTTAATATTTCCAGTTGAATTTTGCCAAAGGAAGTCTTGTTTTTTGTAAATCCAGTATAGGATTTTCCTCCTTGCATGAGTGCCAAAGACCTGAGTCATTTAGCACTAATTTTTGTGTACGTATGAATATTTGAGGTTAACATGAGGGAAATCTTACTGCATTTCACCAAATGTCCTTTAATGAAGTCACACTTTCCTTTCCTCTCAGAAAAAAAATATATTTAATTACATGAGATTTAATGACATGATCTGAGATTTAATGACCTTGCAGATGTACCTTGTACAACTTTTGCATAAGGCTCAGGAGCAGAGATTTTTGTCCTTCTGGACTGAGGAGCCACGATGTTAGTCACAGATCTGTAGCCCATGCACCACCCCGGCAGCAGCTGGGAACACTCTCACTGTAGAGTTAATCTTGGTTTTTGTGACGTTGGAATAGACTAGTTAAGTTTGAATTGCCACCACCAGGTTTCAACATGTGGTTTAACATTATTTTGGCTTTTTTTTTTTTAAGAAGACAAACTAAATACATTTCTGGAATCAAATGAAAGCTTTTAGCATTGGCAGGACCAATAAGTGAAAAACTTGCTAATGACTTGTTTTTGACAGGGGTATCTCTGAAATACTACAGAAATAACCATTTGGAAGCTGCCATTGATTGGCAGGTTATCAAACAAAAATCATTCTCATTAATTTGGTTTTGTTAAATCATCTCCTCCCAGTAGTTGGAGGATTTGAGCAGGTGATTGAACTGGCATAGAAAAACTGTCCCCCTCTAAATCCATATGCCTAGTCAATAATTAACTCCCACAGGCTTCACAGCCTCTGTCATTAGTTGAGATTTTTCAAAGTGTGACATGAAATGAGAAGAATGCTAATGTATTAAACACCATGTGGAGTCTCTCCAAACTTCAGCAGGAAGTCTCCCGAACTCCAGCCCTAGAGCTCCTATGATGAAGAGTTACTTCTGAAAACTGAATGGTTTAGCAAAATACTTGTGAAAACAATATGTGAGGATCTCATCCTATTTAGACAAAAGGTCCTTTGACCAATACAAATTAAATTTCCTCTAAAATAAGATTGGACATTGTGATATTTTATAACTTAGAGTCAGTCCCTCGAACAATTCCTGATAGACATATTATTTGGAAAATGCATCAGTATATTGCAAGAATTCCAAAAGTGAAATAAAATGATGATAATATTACCTTTCCATTTACATTCACCAAACCCATACACACTCATTAGGAAGGCTTACAATGGGGACTTTAAATAGATTTGTTTTGTTTTATTTTAAAATACATTTGCTCATATTTATCTGATTTCTAGTCATTAAAGTTCTTGTCAAGTAATCCACCTAGGCTTTTTCCCAGGGATTTTGATGGATTTGCTGATGAATTATTATAAATTACTTTGTGTAATATAAATGCTAATTATTAACCTTCTTTAGATATATTCTATATTAACACATAGCAGTACTGATTGTAAACTGATTTAAAGTTCTATCCTTCCTCAAGCTTTCCTGAGATATAACCATCAAGTGAAGCTTATATATTTGTGAGATACATGACACAATGATTTGTTCTGTGTGTACATTGTGAAGTGATTAACATAACCCACTTATTCACTGAGATATCATTTGTGTTATGTGTTCCTTTGCTGAGACCACTTAAAATTTGTTCTCTTCCAATTTTGAGAATTATATAGTGTTACTAATTGTAGTTAATATACTGCATAAAAATAACTTATCCTGTTTTTTGCATTATTAAAGAATATTGTATTCTAACACTTTAAAGTAATCCCATTATTATTCTGACATTAGTCTTAGACTGTGAAATTTTTAAATTACAGTGCATTCCTTAAAACTTTACTTTAGCTTCAGTTTGGGAAAATGATATCAAAATGCTGCAGTTTGGTAAATGGGGAATTGTTGAAAGTTAATTTCTTTCCGCCTTTGTTTTCACAGATGTTCGAAGAAGAACAATTTATGAATACCACCGAGTGGAGCTACAGATGTCAAAAATTACCAACATTTCAGCTGTGGAGATGACCCCATTACCTAGTAAGTTAATGTAGGCACATAGTTAAGTGGGAAATATGCCTTGAAAGTTTGGTGATCTTTTCTATTCAGTAATTATGTTGATAATTATTGTGGTAATTGTGTAATTATAATTGTGTTTGGCATGCGTAAGTATTTTGATCGAGTGTGTGTAGAGAGATGGATGGTGATTTTTATTTTGGTTGAGTGGTCTTTTCTCCCCCACACTGTTAATTAGTGCTGATGAGTCTGTTCTATCCTGTTTCCTAGCGTGTCTCCAGTTCAACAGTTGTGGTCCCTGTGTCTCCTCTCAGATTGGCTTCAACTGCAGTTGGTGTAGTAAACTTCAAAGGTAAGATGATAATAAAGCAAGTTTAAAATTTGCAAAAATACACTGCCTCTGATTTCAAATGTATTTCAAGTATGTAGATTATCTGTACATTAACACTGTCTCATGACCAAACTGATAAAAGATGCTCAGTTCGAATTTTTATATTTCTTTCAGTACCCAGAATGACCAAGAACCCTCAGATTCAATAAGATTATTCATTACCTAAGTTCCCAAAATGACTAAGAATCCTCATATTCAATAAGATCTTTATCTGTCATACATTAACAATTCTCATCAGGGCTTTCCAAGCATGATATAGTTGCAAAATCTAAATTGATGATTGATCCATATTGTAGAGAAAACTTGGAATGTGATATCTTTTTAATAGCAAGGATGGATTATAATAATCTCATCCACATGCTTAGTAAATTCCTACATAATATCGAAGGTTATTAGTCAAGATCATAGCACTTATCAAAGGTTGGCACTATCTGACCATTACATAAATATACCATGTGATTTTGATCTCATATTCTAGCTGACTTTGAAACTTAAGCTACATAATTTGCAGTGTCAAAAGGTTTACTGATTTTCATAAGTAATAAAGGCATTTGTTCAGTTCCTAGATAAAGATGTGTGAGAGTAGGTTGCCGATCTCCATAGTGATGTTCCAGCACAGTTCCACCAAAAACTCACAGAAATTAATGCAAACTGATCTAAGGGAGGTGAGGAAGCAGATACCCCACTGCATACTTGCTCCCTGAAAAGGCAAATGTAGCTTTAGTGGATTTGGGAAAGACTCATGTAGATCCTAAGACTGTTTTGTTCTTATTGGAAATACAAAATAAAGACTTGTAAATATATTTTGTTATTTGTTCAACTATTTGGTACATCAGTTATGTCCCAGGTGTTCGAAATATAACAGTAAACAGTGTTGATATGGTCCTTGTCCCCTATTGAGTTGCAGTCTGTCTGGAAATAAGTCCCCTTCTCATATTCCAAGAATAGATTGTTCAGTCTATGAACAATCAGCTTCCTCTCTAGGTGGAAAACTGAATACTGAGCTTTTAGCCATGTGTGTGCTTCCTTGGACAGTCATGGTGTTATTCTCTACTGGCTGCAGCATCTGAATGCTAAAGGCATGTTTAGAAATACATCAAAAATTACTGAAGGCTAAGACATAAAATGCCAATTATTTGATAACAAGCTTTAGGCAAAAAAATTTTTCTCGTAGTTTTAGGGATTGAACCCTGGGCCTCATGCATGCTAAGTAATCTGTTTTCCAACTGAGCTGTATCCACAGCCCTGGGAAACATTTTTAACTTGCTAACTTTAGGGCAACCACTACAATATTGCAGCTAGAACAAAATTATTTATGGTAGCCTCAGTTTTGTTTTCAATTTAACATGTTCCAGTAGTTTCCTTTGGGAAATGATTTTCAAATAATGAAAAAGCAAGCAGGCAGTTAGCATTTTTCAAAGTAGATCTTAACTTAGTTGTATATCCAGAGTGGGAGGAACTGTTATAAAACCAGAGGTTGAGAGCTGTTTAGATTTATATTTTGCTAAGATTTCCTAAAGACTACATGAGTATCGGAAGTGATCTAAAATCACTTAATTAAAATCACGGGAATCTAAAAAGATGACATTTTAATGTATGAATTTAAGGAATATTGAGCTCTGAAATGAAAATTGCCCAAAACAATCAAGTGGAAGACCCTGATTACCCTTGTTCAAAACTACCTCAAGGTCAAGTTCAGTGCTCACCATTCAGGGAAAACCTCCATCTCTAATATTTAGTATAGGGCTTGCAGATGCTTGTTTATTTGTCTCCTTTCAGAGACTCTAGATTTGTTAAAGACAAAGACCATCAGTGATTTATCTTTATATCTCCATAGGCTATAAACATGCACCTAGTACTGCAGAAAAATGGGGGATGATGAAATCATGATTAGATTCCAAACAGAAGGAATTTTAATTACATTTGTCTGAGATTGAAGGGTTCCCAGGATGAACGACTTTCCCTGCTAAAGACAGGAAATTCCAGAAAAAAACCTGCACCACTTGAACACCCTAGCCAGACTTCCACTGCTACGGCTTATATCTAGATTTCCCCCCAGAGTTTCATACACTCATAGGTGGGGCTTTCTGGAGGGGACTGGATCTAAGGTATGTGATACTGTGATATCTAAATTGGTTTAGCAAAGTTCTGGGTGTAGATAATGGGAAGGCCCACCCTGGGTGTGGGTGGCACCACCCAAAAGGCTTGTTAACTTGAATGGGATAAAAGAGAAAGGAAGGCTCTTTCACTGCTGCTCACTGCTGCTGATTTCTGTCTGCCCTGCCATGGACTGTCTCTCCTGTGCCATGTCCCTCTCCCATACTGCCCTGCCTTAGAGCCAGCTCATAATGAGCTGAAACTTCTGCAGACTGAAAACATACCTTTCCTCCTTTAACTTTGGGTGTCATGTATTTTGTCTGAGCAATGAGAAAAGTAACTAAGATACCCATTATGATAATTCTTGAGGAAAACAATGTTCTAGTAAATGAAGGGCTTTGTAGATTCATCTAGAAACCTTTCTACAACTAGCTATTTTTTTCTAATATATATTTTCAGTGGGAATACATGCTAGAACTTTCAAATAAACAATTTTGGAAATCAAAACATGTTCACAAGTTAGATATGTTACCACATTCATTTAGCTAAGGAATTTCTTAGCCAGATGTTACACCAAGGAATTCTAGAATTTTACATTTGACAGCAATTTTGTGGTAAGAAAACTGAGGTTCATTAGAGCTAAGTTATTTGTATAGGATTTCAAGAATTCAACTAAGTTAGAATTCAACTTAGATCAGGGTGACTTCTGGCTTTTAGTCTTGATAGCTCACCTTTTGTACTTCAAACTCACTAGGTTGCTGGTGCATTAAACAGTGGAGTCTTCGTTGCTTTCTGGAAAGTAGCAGACAAACTATGAAAAAATAAATCTTTTCATAATTTGTGTTGCAAGCAATTTATATAGTTTGGAAATTGGCATAAGAAGAATGTAGAAGAGAATCACAGTATTCCTAAGACTTCTACATAGTATTGAGAGAACAGACTCTTTAAATTAACAAAGAAAAGAAAGGTGATTATTCATAGGAAAATGGGAGGAATTCATCATAGAAACTGCTTTAAAAAGTACAAGTTTTCTGTGCATTATTGTTTGATGTTTTGTTGAATACCAAACACTGATTTAAAGTCTTGGATTTATTTTTAATTCTTCAGCAGCTCCGTTATATACATATCAAAATCTGTTTAATTAATTGGTTTAACTATGGCTCATTGCACTTTTGTTCAACTTAATTTCCCTACTGCATTTTATTAATTTCTCCTTAGACTTATGATAATATAAACTTTTATTTCCCTAGACTTTAATTCTTTATGAAAAAGTAGACAAAACAAGAGAAATCTTATCCTAAGCAGCACAAAAATTGCCCCTCTGTTTTTTCCTCCCACCATTCTTACTTTCTCCTATGTGCTCATTTATCCCTGAATGATAATCAGTTGCTGGTAATTACTGAACTCTCAAGTTGGGCTTGCTCTGAAAAGATAAGATAATTTTAATTGGTTTGTTTATTTCCTTTAATACTCATTTTTTAAGGATCAAAATCTAAGGCAAAATGCCAGGTGGTGCACGCCTCTAATCCAAGCATTAGGGAGGCTGAAACAGGAGGATTGTGGTGAGTTTGAGGACAGCCTGAACTACACAGCGAGAGCCTGCCTTGAGAAAATAAATAAATAAAAATTAAAAACAAGCAACAACAACAAAAAAACTAAGGCAAAATGTTTGTAAAATGCTTGTCCAAATCTCAGGGAATTGGAGTTATGGGAACATATAGAGAAATCTATAATCAAATGATCAAAAGCACTCAACTTAATACATTTTGCCCAAGTTTTCTAGGTAAGAATATGTATTATTTCCTCATTATAAATTGAGAAGATTTGAATCACTTTCAGTTATATCTTGCCTTCACTCTTTCAACAACTAATTTTGATCGTCTCTGTTCAAGTTACTATTCAAGGCCAGGCATTCAGAAGTGAATAAGTAGACGAAATCATTCATCTAAAGTGACTTACATATTTAGTATGGGGAGATAGATTTTAAGCAAAAAATACATAGTAAAATTAGTAGTTATGAGAGCTATGGTAAGGAAAATAAATGGGGCAATGTTAGCAAAAAACAACTAAAATTGCTAAGAGTAACAAGAGTTTTCCTTGATGATATAGTTCTTAAGGAAACTTGTCATTTTGAAGAGTCTTTGGTTTGATTGGCCAATATATTAGCTTTTCCATTTCTTCAGACAATACCAGACATCCACAACATACAGGAAGAGAGGTTTAATTTGCCTCATATTTTAAGGGGATTCGGTCTGTGGTGAGATGGCTTCAGGGCAGAAATATCATGGCGGAAGGTATGGTGTGGGAGAGCTGTGAGTTCACGGTAGCCAGGAAGCAGAGCATGGGAACAGTGCCAGAGAAGGGGTGAGGGACCGGATGTAAACCCCAAGGTCACACTCCATGACCCACCTGACACACACAGAACTGTATTCTGTCAGTACCCCAGTGGCTCCCAAATCCAATCAAGGCGACATGACACCCCAACTTAACCATCACAGCCATCATCATCCAAAAGTGAATTTTTTAATTAAAAATACACTTTGGTTGGTAAAGTATTTGTTCACTTAACAATGTATCAGATACCTCCCCCACACCAGGCACTGACATGACCGGGCACAGTTTTCATGGAGCTTGGAATTTAGCTTAGCCAGAAAATAGGTAAATTAAGAATTAAACAAAAAAGTCAGATAGTGATAGTGATGAGGGATCTGCTGAGTTTAAAAGAGCTGGTGGTTGCGAGGGACTAGGTGGCTGGGAAGGATGTCTAGCAGGATGTAACAGTTGAAACAGATCCAAATCATAAGGAGCCAGCTGCACCAAAGAGAAAGCAAAGAACATTTCAAAGGAAATTGCAAGTGCAATGG